TCTTTTTGTTTGGCTTGTTTTATATATTTTTTTAATTTTTCGCTGTTTTTTTTCTTTCAGTTCTGACAAGGCATTTTTTATGGGCACGGACATGTGTCGCCGGCGGGTGGGAAAAAGGCAGCAGATTTTGGCTGTGACAACTGCACTGCCACTGCAGCCATTCCTCGGGGAAAAAGGTCGAAATAAATGAAATTAAAATGCAAGTGCTACATGGGAAGGCCGTTTATTTAGTTAATCAATGCAATTGGCCCGTCCACCTGGGGACTCAGAACTTAATGCACCACTAGCAGTATGTCAGGTATGTACGTTCCCATTGCCAACAATGTGGTTTGGCTATCCATATTTGACTCACTAGGAAATTGCTTTATTTAGCGACCGCTGTTTGTACCAACCGACGGTGAACTTAACGTCCGGCAGTTTCCCTTTCGGTTTATCAGCTAATTTGATTATTTCACCTAATTGTCCGCCCGCCGCAATTACATATTTTTTATGGCCTCCCATTTGTCGGGACTGCCATTTTATGCGCTTTCCGTGCTGCTTTTCATTTAGTTGAGTGCAGCACAAATTTGTTATCGGCTTTCCACAGTCGCCGCCCTTGTTTGCACTGTCATCAATGCCATTTTGTATTTGCATACGACCAGCCATTTTGAGTGATGGTACGGAAATAAGTGTTGACTGGCGTACTTCGTAAAAAGTTTATTAAATAATTTATTAAATAATGTATTTAAAAAAAAAAATGTTAACAATAAATACAACGATGTATCAATATTTTGTAAGCTTTGTTTCAAGGGGCAATCGTCCCAAAACAACATTTACGTTACGCCAAATGGGCTGTGAAATTGTGCCTGTAGGCTCTGTTCTGTAACAAAACGTTATCTAATATCTTTATAGAGACAGAAAGGTGGACGAAAAACCGTACAGAAATAGGGGCTTGTTTATTCTTCATTCATATATGCAGTGAAGGAGACATTTTCGACCCTATAAAGTATATCCATCTGTCCATCCGTCCGACCGTTTCTACGCAAATTAGTCTCCCACTTTTAAAGTTATCTGTTTGACACTTTTCCAAAAGTGGTCTTTCTATTACAGGTAGTATATAAGTTGGAACAAGCTCACATAGGAAAATCAAAAAATTAAAAAAAATGATTTTGCTGTTTTTTCTATTTATCAAAATATTCCTTTGAGATATCAGAATTCTGCTTTTTGTTTTGTCAAAATCTGACCACAATATCATATAGCTGCCACAGAAACGATGGCAAAATCGACATAGCTTTATTGTTTTTAGTAATATAGGCATATAAATCGAAATGTAGTCCGTTTTTTTCGGCTTGCCGAAGTTTGCTTCCTTTCTTGTTTTATATAGAATTTTACAGAAACTTAATTTTATTGAGTTCCAGCAGTATTATAAAAGCTTTAATGGACAAATGGAAAAATGGTTCTAATATATTGATTCCCCATTCTAATTATTTAAATTTTGAATTCTCGTATTCTTACATACACATTTATAGATAAATTAAAACATATTTTCCATTATATTTAAATTAAAAAAAAAAACAAGAATTTGATTGCAGGTTCATCTTTAAACGTCGAAATGAAGTTAAACTTAATTAAATCCCAGGAAAGTATTAAATATATTTTGATTATCCCTTTGGAAAAGGAGATATTATTTTTGGGTAATTTCTTTGAGATGCACAGCTGCACGAACTGAAAACAGTGGCAGCCGCAGAGCCGCAATGCAAAGTCCGCTCCAGTTGCATGATGGCGCACATTTATCGCCGCAAACCGCAGCGGGACAGATAACTGATGTGGCCGCAGATGCTGCAGTGCGGCGCCACCGACTCCCGAAGCCTCGGAGCGAGATGTCAAAATGCCAGCCAGCAAGCCAGCAGGCCAGGAGCAAAGGCGGCCGAAGAGGCGGCAGAAACAGGGCCCAGATAGCCGTCATGCTTGGTCATGGACGCCAAATGGTTGACAGACTCTCCAGACAGCTGCAATGGCGCAGGGGCAGGGTTTCAGGCTTGGTCTGGCCTGGGCTGAGGGCTCCCGACCGGGCTGCATCGAGGGTCCGGAGAGGCTCCGCCTGCTTTCGACCGCTTTTTGCCGATTGGCCAGAACGGGTTGGCCGAATGCCGCAGAGCGAGACAACGGGGCGCATGGGCTATGGATCCATGGCGAGCGAGTGAGCTGCCACCAACTGAATGGGGTCTCGAGTGAGACGGAGGTAGCCAAGTAGTGGTGGAAGTGAGACAAAACGGCCTTAAGAGCACTAAGCCAGTCTCTCTTCGGCCCACGTTCTCTGGGCCAACTCTGCAACACGTGTTGGCGTGCTGGCCTGCGTGCAAAATAACCGAGTTTTTTAGCCGCTCATCCGACGCGTATTTTGTTAATTTAATTAAACAAAAACGTTTTGTTTGTGTTTTTTCATTTGCTGCTGGGCAAATGGTTTTTGCCCTGTCCTGTCGCCGAGCACAAAATGAAATTGGAATCGCGCTCGTGCACAACTTTGAATATGTTGAGCTCTCTCAAATGGTGGCTGCCGTCGATATTTCTGCTGCTGCTGTCGATTTTTGTCCGTCTGCTGCGACATTTGCGCTTTTTGCGGCATCTTGTTTTCCCCCGATTGCAGTACATGTTGTATTTGCCGTTTAATGGCTTGCGCCGTTAGGTTTTAATTGAAATATCACACATTTGACCACTGGAAATTGCCATTGTAATTGTCAGTCGGGTCTTGCTGGGCTTTATGAGAATTATTTGGTTGTGTATGTAAGGCCATGTGGGAAAATTCTAAAAAAATTCTTCAAATTTGTGTGTATTATAACAAATAAATTCTCATGTTCTGCTACATAATCCAAGCGATAATAAAACCTAAATTTTCTAATGTCAAACTATTCGATTAATAGAGAGAATAATAATGCCAGGAATTATTCAAATCTTTTTTCTCCAGATTTATTGGAAATAATTTAATTTATTTAAGTTTTACAATGTATTTTTAATGTGAAAAGGTTATTTTTTAAACCATTTTTTTATAGTAGCTTGTGTACATAAGTATTTGTCATTATATCCTGCAGTATATTTAACGGTTTACGAACTTATTAGTAATTTCATGTCTAGAAAAGGTAATAGTAAGTATCTATCCTTCTTTTTATAGCATGCATATAATTAATGATAAAACCAGCATCTTATTAATGAAACCTAAAAAGCACTTAGGAAAGTAACCATAATTTTCTTATACTTAGTCCAATTTGCTTTTTTGCTTTTCTTTCTAAATAACTGTAGAGAAGAATAAAATAAAATCACCTTCGAAAAACTAGGCTAATTTCCAAAAAAAAAACTCTTTGTAAATTGTAAACGGAAGTTTTGCCAGCTTTAATTTAGAACTCGCATGTCTGTCGGCCAACACTGAAACTGAGAAAGTTTTAAAACTTCCGCACGTGACTTCCGCGACCATTGTCAATCGGCCTGATGATCCAAGTGGCAATTGAAGGGGCTCTTGGCCAACTGGGCTGACAGTCCGAAGAGTTAACGATTGCAGCGGTAATTGGAGCCAAGTCAGCCCGTCGAGGCGTAGGCGATTAAAAGGCGATTATTTCAATTGTGGTCCGGGAAATAATGATGCCAGCTGATGGATGGATGGAAGATGCTGCCCAGGTAACTGGAGGAAAAAACAGTCACCTGTCAACGAATTCGGCTTAGCTGTTATGTTAATGCGCCAAAGCCGTTGACATTTATTGGCAGTTATTTATGGCGGACACTTCGCGCGGACTCTGGCCGGGACACCATTTTGGGGCCTGGCCATTTTGGTGTCCAGCGCTGCCCGACTATGGAAAATTCTATAATTGTGCAGGTGACAAACCGAGTGGCACGCGCTGCTGACGCTGATTAGAGGCAGTTGCACCTGCAGCTGCACTTGCCGCAGTTGCAGATACTTCATCTCGAGTCACGCTCGTTTGTCCGCCGGCACATGACCATAAAGATATTATTAATTATGACAATATTGGAGTAAAAGTGTTCGCTCCTAGACGTGGCCTGAAAAAGGAGTACTGCAACACTCCCTCGTGGATATTACTTTGTATTCGGACTAGAGCCTGAAATACAAGTCATCAGCTTACTGTGGTGAACAAATATTAGAATGGCAAATTGTTTATACCACCATTTTTATAAAGCAAAATTTAACCACTCTTTCAATCTAACATTAAAACCGTTGCAGCTGTTACAAAATGCATATATTATATTTTCGATGTCGATGCTTAAAAACAATAAAGCTCCGTTACATTTTTCGATTTTAATCAAAGTTAAGTATCTCGCAGAATATGGATATATGTTATGGATATGGTTATATGTTAGGATTTTTTTCCTTTTTTTCCCGATTGTTCATATGGGAGCTAAATAATATAGTAGGCCGATCTGACCCTTTCCAACTTCCTATAGTATCCTTTATCCTTAACATTGGAAATGTAGTCTGTTTTTATAGTGCTCGAGGAAAATTTCAGCTATATTCAGAATTATATCTGCAGTTAAAAGAGTTTTGCACACTGTACAGATATTTTGCACCTGTGAGATTTGTTTGTGAGATGCTTGACTAATGAGTTTATTAGTATTTATATGGTCATCTGCAGAGCGGTCGGCGAGGCATATTCAAATGAAATCGACTTTCCTATTCTGGATCGGGACCATCTTCCAAGAACTATCGATATCGGGGCACGTGTCATCTCTGGGACAGTCTGATGAGATGTCCATATCTGATGGGTGTTCGATTTGTCACAGCGTCCCAAACCGGGCATTCAATGCTGGACTAGACGGCGATGGGCTTGTGAAAATATTTAACATTGTAGTCAAGAAACGCTTTTGTTCTTAATGGCAACTTACCATTTATATATTCTGAAGGTGACTGTATTTATTTAAAACCTAGGAAAATCAGCCTAATTTCTTTCAAGGAATTTTCTACAAGAAATCTATGAGTTTTAAAATGTTATACAATGCATTAAAGATATCGCAACAAATTTAAAGTTATACCTAAATTATATATTTTTGAATAAGGTTAAAAGGGTAATTGAAGCTTAAATCAATAAATAGCATTGAATATTGAATTATATTACAACTCGTCTTTGCTACGGTTGATCAAAGTGTAGCGGTGCTTGGATGGTTTGAGCTCCTTAAACTTAGATTCGTGGGCGACCGGCGGGAATTCAGCGGGATCGATTGTGGACTCTGATTTTTCTTGGGCCTCTAGTGCCAAGTGGAAATTGTAGTGCAACGCGCCGCTGAAAAGATCATCGATAAACTTTTTAAGGACACCGGGCTGGTTAATATCCTCGAACCGCGGAAAGAGGTACATGTGTATGAACGAATCGATGGCGACTACTGGCAGATCGCCCATGGACATGCCCATATGGTAGAGCGGGTGCTTGAAGAGTTCCCCATCTGCAGTCAGGAAATTAACCCTGTTCTCATCCGCTAGGTGCCTCTGAATCGCGGTCTTGAATTCCTGGATGGCACCCAGATCGTGTTTGTTGTAGAAAAGCAACACGAAGGGCAGTCCCTCCTCGGAGAGCTCCTCGGCATTATCGAAGTTAATTTCCCGCACAAGCGGCACACACTTCTTGTCGACCCAAAAGGTAAGTTCTTTAAAGCTGGTCATGTTGCCCGAGTATTCACTGTAGTAGTCCTTTTGATTTGGGATCGAAGGGTCTCCGCGGTACACCAGCACGTTCTTTCCTGGGGGACGGAGGTCTTTAGTCAACTCTCCGAAGCCCACTAGGAACCTTGAATTAGTGTTGTTAAGAATACAACAGTAAATAAATATTTTAAAATTTGTGAATTTTGAGTACATACAACTTTATGCCCTAGTAACATAGATAAAAGCTTTGTTATAGACACATTATAAGCAACCAAAACCTAAGCTAGCAATACATTTCCGTTTATGTATGTACATAGTATGTAAATATGTATACGTATACAGGTTACCAATAACAAAAACAGTTGTATTAAATTAACTATTGCTTTGAAAATCATATCGATTATAATGTGTTTGTTGTTAATTAATAAGCTCACCTGCAATCATTGCGCATTAAACTCGCTACCTTGCGATAGGTATCATATTCGGCATGATCCTTGGAAACAAAATAACCAATTACAATGCCATTGCCCACTTCGGCATTCTTGAGCTCATCGACGCTGTGAAACTCCTCAATTGGATCTAAAAGTTCCTTCTCCACAAACTGAACAAAAGCTTCCACGGATCGCTGGCCGCGGTACTCCTGATTGCTAATCAATCCATTCCGGATGATCTTTATCGTGGGATACTTGAGTATGTCAAACTTGTCAGCCAATTCTTCTTCCTTATCGCAGTTTATTTTTCCCAGAATTACACGGCCGTTCTCAGGGAACTTCTGATGAATCTTCGACGCCGCCTCCTCGAAAATGGGTGCCAAAATTTGGCTAAAACGACACCAATCCGTGTAAAAGCTGAGCAGCACCAACTCATTGGATACAAGAATTTCTTCTAAGTTTTCGTGGGTCACCACCACCACAGAGTTTCCAGCGGCAAGAGTAAGTTGAGTAACTAAGAAAGACAGCCGAGTCAGGATCTCGAAACCACCGGTCACCTTCATCTTCAGTCCACTGATGACGTTCCTAAGTTGTTTTTAAGGAAAAAACAGAATTCGATACGTCAAATATGAAAATTAAAGGCGTACTTAATAGATTAGATGCACCCACACGGAAGTTAAGCTTACCTCACTATTTCTGATTCTTTACCAACATTAACGATCTCGGAATAACAACACTTTAAAATACAGCGTCTCACTTCTGGCATGGATCCATGACAAATTTAAAAGTCCAACCGCCAATATTTGATTAATTATTAATTATTATAATGTAAAACGAAAAAAGGTCTAGATATTTATTGGTATGGATTTAGTATTATTATTATTGATAGAAACTATGACAACATTTTTAAGTGTACATTATATATTTATAGCAAAAATAAATTGTTTTTATGTGTCAAAAACCAACCAACAAAAAACATCAAGCTGTACTGACTCATAATTATTAATTTAACTTACCAGTCAATTAGATGTCAGACAAATATATTTAAGTGCTCAGGGGAAAACTGGGTTTTAAAATAACGAAAAACCTGTAAGAAATTAATAAAATATCAGAAACAAATTCTTTTGGTTTGTAAATAAATTAAGAAATGGGAGAGTGTGTAGGATAGGGCGTACGTTTTTTCATTTCATTATATTATAACTTGAGTCAAGTGAAGTTTTTAAATATAAAGTAAAAACAAGAGAGAACGCTATAGTCGAGTGCCTCGACTATTAGATACCCGTTACTCAGCTAAACAACTTAATAGAAATATGCCTTCTTGTAATAAATTGACTAGAAATATTAAACATACATACTTATATTGGCTAAACACATACATTCTGAAATAGTATTATGTATATTAAAGTCTAAATGTTTGCACAACACGAGTAACGGGTATAGCGAATAGCTTTTTTGAAAGGAGTTATCTTTGCCGGGCAATTGCAACTGAGTACAATGTAAATACATACATATGTATATGCTTACATAAATACACACATACGCCATTGTTTGACTCAGACCTCCAATTTGGCTAACTTGATTTGATTTGCATAGTTATTGGGATATACATAGTTCGGTATTGACAAATGAAAACAAATGAAAAAATTAGCGTTGACTCTGTTGAGCACCTTGGTCAGCTGTTCCAAAGTCATACGTTAGATGGCGCCATAAAAGGCGGAAATGTAGGCGCTAGCCAGGCTAAAGCGTTTAATGGGTTTTTGGGCGTTAGAGTGGGCGTGGCAAACTTTTATTAGGCCAATCGATATTTATTGACGAAACAAATACATATCAATTAAAATTTTCATAATATCATCAAAACTGTGGCTTGTGGGCGTCAGAGGGGGCGTGTCACCATTTTGAAACAAACTTGCGCTGCGTAGGAACTCCTTAAATCTACATGCAAAATGCCAATCTTCTAGCTTTTATAGTTTCCGAGATCTCAGCGTTTATACGGACGGACAGACGGACATGGCTAGATCGACTCGGCTAGTGATCCTGAACAAGAATATATATACTTTATAGGGTCGGAAACGCTTCCTTCTACCTGTTACATACTTTTGCACGAATACAATATACACTTTTACTCTACGAGTAACGGGTATAAAAATTAGGTAAATGGTCGGGTAGTTGTTTTGCAACGGTATGTTTTGTTTTCCTCGCCTTGCATGAACATGTTCTTGTATTACAAAATACAGTGGATCGCAGCTTATTTCGTGCAGTTAACTAAAAAAAGTTCAAGTCGTTATTCCAGCTAAACTAAGAAAGATATCAGAAAAATTTAAATGCAGTATTTTAAAAGGGAATATTAACTTGTTTATTAAATTAAAACGATTTCCTTAATCGTAAAAACAAAATAGTTATTAAATAAAAACAAAATGTGCAGGCTTTTTTCATGCCGCAGCTTATTTCGTGCAGTTCATTCTTCTTAACTTATTATTTGTAATTTAAAAGCTAATATTTGGTATGTCCTCATTTCTGGTTCAGGACAGCTTTAAGACGATTTCCCAAGGAAGAAACTAACTTTTAAGTGGTTTCCACTGGAATTTTTGGCCATTCTTCCATAAGAACACTTTACATGTCGTTTTTGTTCGAAATCTTCCTCTTCCTTATAGCGATGTCCAATATTTCCCATAAATTTTTGATCACATTTAAGTCTGGAGACTGTGCTGGCGTTAAGACGGCATGAGGGCAGTTCCAGACAAGATAAACCTCCACAATTCCTGCTGAATGCTTCGGATCGTTGTCCTGGTAAAATCGAAATCGATCGCGTATGCCCAGTTTTTCAGCAGTTTGGAGCAGGTTTTCCTTATGAATCTGTAGGTACATCTTGGCCATCCATGATAACTTCAAAAAAAAACGAGGTTGCCCCGCCAGAAGCTGCCATACAGGCCCAAACTATAACATGACCCCCGCCATGCTTGACTGTAGCTTTTAAAAGTTTGTTTTCGAGCTCTGTATTAGGTCGCCGCCAAACATATTAAACCAAAAAGTTTACATTTTGACTCGTCTGCAAATAACACGTCATTCCAAAACGAAATCGGAAGAAGAATATGCTCCCTTGTTCCTAATACAGAGCTGGAAAGCAAACACCTATAACCTATAACACCTATTCTATAGAATGTTTTTTTTCGGCGGAAGAAACTTCTTGTATTGCTTTGCGAGACAGCTAATTATAACAGTTTTTTTTTAATTCTAAATGGATTCTTTCAAGCCTACTTTGAAACAAAACTCTTTTACAGATATCTCTTCACTTGAATTATGATTTGGGTAGGGTTTCGTAAATTTTCAAATTATAGGCGTATTTAATCAATGATGTTTTTTCTATTATATATATAAAAGTATATATAAAATCTGCAAGTTTACTTTGTCGAGCTCTTACAGTTTCCGGGATATCGTTGTTTGTACGGACAGACCACAGACATGAGCAGTTACTCTACGACTAATAGGTATAAAATCGAATTCGATTCGATTATAGGACTACTCAAGTATTCGTCGCGCACACTTTTAACAACATAACTTTAACAAAATTGACCATTTTGAAGTGGAGAAGTTTATTTAAATTTTTCAGATTAATAAGTATCATGCTTTTTCGTCAATTTATTTTATTTGTCATGATCATTAGTGTAAATTGTATTTTAATACCTCCATTCTGTAAGTTAACCAATAGTTTCTATCAACATAAATTAAATTAAAGTTCAACTCCAGGTGACCTTTTGGTAATAGATCCTCCTTTGAGTAAGTAATAATGTTTATATATCGTGATTGTTTCTATTTACTTCCTACAATTCCAGAATGCTACCACGCCAAAGATTGTGAGTGTAAGTAAAATAAAGTAAATAATTTAATAGACATCTGATAAAACTATTTGCTTCTTAGCCTATAGGGAGTGCTTAGGTCCTGAATACATAGTAAAGTGAGAACAATAATTAAAGTCATTGTGATATGTATATTGTATTTCGGAGAGCATCTAAATAAAGTCCATTGTCAGATACACGTATAGATGGCATACTGGAAGACTTGGATGCTAATGATGCGTCATGGTCATGGGAGGACGTCTGCAGCTTAGAACGAATTTTCAGCAGACAATTTGGCAAGCTGTCAACGCCACTCTCAGTTGAAGGGGGCGTGGCAGCTTGAAGATTTCCAGAGGGTAAGAGAATCGAAAACTCGCAGCTAATGATTCTCTGCGAAAGGACATCAATCAATCCGAAGTTAAAGCAAAACCACCCTCAGGGGAAAACTCGCCACGTTTATGTGGTTCTCACATTAAATAAATAAACAAACTTATAAACTCATTCAAATCATATTTAAAAATCATCGCAGAACAGCAGGAGCAGGAGTAGCAACAGCTTGTCCATTCATGAATTATTAGTTGAAGCTTATCAAACGTGACCAAAATCGAAACGAAAAGTTAATCATAAAAAAGAGGGAACAGCAGTGGGCCAGCTGTTGCTGCTAAAGGGCCAAGCGAGTGTGAAAAATCAGAAAACGAAGGTCCAGGGAAATGTTTGGGCCCCAACCCACAAGGGGAATGGAAAGTCCTGGCAAGACGACTGGCTCACATGTTCTGTGTTATTATCTTTTGGCCTGACCACAAGACGTGTCAACTTGTGGTTCCATCTCCACCCGACAATACTTCACATATAAATCAAGCTAGGAAAAAGCCTGTAGACCAGTGAACATCCAAACTTATTTTTTTAGCTTGCAAGCCGCTTATAAATATTTGAGCAATATCTTCTATTCAATGATGCAGTGAACGAAAATAGCATTAAAATATCACTGTGTTAAGTAATAGTTCTAAATGTGTTGTAACATAAAAAAAAAACGATTTGTATATATTTTAGATCGACCGTAGTTTTTTTAAATCAATTAATGTTTTTATAATATACATTTTTATGTTAATGAAGAATTGTAACAAAAATTACAACCCTTCGAAAATAGTAGGTGAAGCAGATATAAATTCAACAATATTTATTCTTGTGATAAAAATTAATGGAGACCAGTGTCTAAGTCTCTGTGTATAAAATCAGCTTACTGACAGGACATGTGGGTGGCTCGCTCGTCCTCAGTTGTGGTCAATATTCCAGGACTTGTCCTAACCAGCAGACATCTTAAAGGCGAGGTCTTAAAGGTTTTCAGCAGGTCGGGGCACCGCCCAAGTTGTCGGGCCACGACTGCCACGGCAAGGTGACGTAATTATAGATGTACTGGTGGGTCGCCTGCCTTCGAACCAAAGTGCAATGGACGCCAGACAAAGCCACCCTTGCATGCAGCGGACGGCTGGCAAACCAACTCGCAACGGGAGCTGTTGTAGCTGCGAAATGCGGAATGCTAAGTGGCAAAGAAAACAAAGTCAAGGTACGAGAGCGGCAAAAGGGTTGACACGGCCAAAAAACAGAGCAGCCAAGAAGGCGTAAACCAACGCCGTGCGGTTGTGCCGTAATTGATAATGGTATGGGTCCCTTGCAGTGCTGTAAACTTTTGACTGTCAAATGGTGTAAATAAACAATTATAAATATTTTTC